CGTAATACTTATTTCCTATTTTAAATAATGATTAACCCATGTGGAAAAAAAACAGTGGAAAAATCGGATGATAATTGATTTTTTTATAAATTATCACGAAAAATTGATTAAACAGACTACTTTCTGATTTTAAATGAGCAATCAATTAAAATAGATTTTTCGACAAAAAAATCTGAATAATCGATTAAAAATCAAATCCATTTTAATTGATTACCAGAGTAATCTATTATAATCTATTTTATTTGTTATCATCTAAATAGTCAGTTAAAAATATAATCGATTATAATCGATATCGAAAAATATGTATTAAAATTCATTTGTTTTGGAATGATGCAATTAGTTGATTAAAGATGTTTGCTGGCGCAGCTCATTGAAAGCTGAACTATGCAAGAAATGTGTGTTCTTTATTCTCATTATACGTAATAACAAATATGTGAAGTCGAAAATATTCTAGCAAGTTATAATTGTTTTCTAAGAACATCGATCGCGAGACATAGGATCTGTCTTATCTATTTCTGTATTTTCAACTAAGATACATTTCTTTTCGTTGCTGGTGTTCTATCTTTTGGTTCGTTAGCTTCTCTAAGCTCATTATTCTGCTTTGCCGCGCTCCATTGTTCTTACATTTAACGTTTTAACTGGAATAAGCATTGAATTAATTGATGCATGAGCTTGTTATACATATCAACTAATCTATCGCAGCTGGTCGTAAAGCATCAGTTTAGAAATGCTAATATTCATTGTTTCCCAAGGTCATAATTAAATCAGTTCACATTTTTTTGTTGATCAGAAGGCCACACTTACCAATCATTGTCTCATTACCCATCATCGTTGAAATTGCTATTGTAAATTCTATGTGTGAAAAATGAAAAAGTGCACCATGTAAGATATTCCCATATGTTTTCGAGCCACTCGACTTATTGTGAAGATCCCAAAATGTTCTAGAATCTTCGTAGACAGTCTACGTATATTCTTAAATCTGTTTTCTTGCCTTTTCAGTTCTTGATGAACTCAGGAATAGGATTGTGACGCATTTTGCCCTCGATTGAAATTCAATACGTATTCAATAAGCTCTAACCAAACGAAGAGCAGCGTACCTTCTGGTAGAACCTAATTTAGTACATGGATCTACTCTGTTCTAGTTTGATTTACTTCGAAAGGTACTTCCAGATGCTTTTAAAGTACTTCATATAACATCAAAGTAGTTCGTTTGTCCGTAGTCTTTAACTCTGAGGGTGTGCGTATCACTGAGCAGAAAGGCTACACTCACATTCACATTCGCACCCAAAAATATTAATCGAAAAAATATGTATCATTCTTTCATTAGCTGCAAATATCGTTAATTAAATCGTAACACTTGCACAAAAATAAAATACAAGTATCATGATATGTAATGAAATTATGTCATAAGATAAATTGTCATGAAGGTATTTTCCGTGTATATTTGTTCCTTCTTTCTTTCTGTCAGATGTTTTTCTTACTTGTTTCTCTTGATTTTTTCCTTTACCAGCTTTCTAGCTTTGGCGTAATACCTTATATATTTTTCAACTATATTAAGTAATGTCTGGCATATTCCATCCGTTATATATAATATTACATAAATTCTTATTATTTCTATATGAAGGGATTTTTTAAAAACTTCTTAAAGCTTGTTTAAACAACATCATATACGAATTCAATGCCAAGAAAAAGACTATACAATGGCGGACAACTGTCAATTGATGACCATATTATCATTTGAATCTAATATGAACTCGAGCACCAAGATTTAACAAGAATGAAAACATGCATGAACAATGATTCCTAAAAAATGTGACAAGAAAATTGTATAGTATTGGAATTTTCAACACTGTTGTTGGTATAATTTTTATCGGATTAGACAGTAGACTTATTCTCATTAACTAACTAAGGTAATCGTATCAACAATTAATTATTATTATTATATGCTTTCTTTTCTCACAGTTTTTTATTAATCATCAATGAACTCGACGCTATTTTGTTGGCCTTCTTATTCTAGTTTTATGTCGAGCACAAGTCTATGTTATAACAAATTTCAATATTTTGACCTTCTTTCAAATGTTTTTTTCTATGACTAGCGTTTTCTGCTTATCTTTTTGTCATTTCTCGTGTGCACACGCAATGCAGAAATCTATATGATAATCAATATTATTATTGCAATACTTTATTCATAGCATACGTTGGTCAAATATTTATCTTAATTACTTTTTGTATGACCATTCGCAACTTGGTCATTATCAGGGATGGACGACAGCCTTCTGCAGTTTCTCTAACAATAGTTTAATTATATGCATGATATTATTTCAGATAATAAAATCCACTTCATCTATCTTTGTTTTTATGTTTAACAGAAAAAAGAGATTCTATAGCAAACAACCTAAGATTTATTATGGGACCGTCATAATGCAAGAGATCAGTAAGATGAAAATTTTTTTTCTGTCTTTCCCATCCAAATTACAACTTTGAGCGTGAATGAAGATGATAGTGAGTTTTATTATAATATTGAGAAAAAGGACATAATGTTTTTTCTTTTCTACTTGTTCACAATACTGAAATCAGGGCTGTGAAGCTACTATTAGAAGGAAATACGAACTAATTGACAAGAAACCATTAATTGAATGCAGGGTGATCATGAATCTAGTTACCATTATCCCAATTTCATTTTGACTAAGAGAATCATCAGTGTAAAAGTCATTGACCATTTATTCCTCCTTTTTATAGTAAACTTTGTGAACTGTCGATCAGAAAAAAGCATATTTCATTTCATCACTTCATCTTCATTGTATGGATCCTGCAAAATCGATAATTTTGAAAAAGTTGAATTTTTTCAAAAAGAAATTTTTCGTTCCATGTGCAGGTAATAGAAATATGCAGAGCGTGTTGTGTAATTTATATCAACAAACATGCCTACTTGTGAATTGACTGTGTTTCGAAAGTTTCGTAATAGCTTAGCGAATAACAAGCGGCAAGGGCAAAAAATAGATCCTGGATTCATCATCGAGGGAATGGAGTGGCATGGCGAACAACATTGATATATTTTTTTGTAAATCTTATCATATAAGAATTTGAAATAATATTTACTACATGTTTTGTTAAAAATACTTTTTATATATTAAGTTCTTCTGTTTTCACATGAGTCAAATAAAATGGAATAAATTTCGCTTTTGTCCACTCAACACTGTCATAAAAGAGAGAAAGAATTGGATTTTTCAAGTCGTTCAAAACCCCTTCTTTACCCTATAGTCACTGGAGTAACCAAATTACTCTGCTCGAAGAAGAGACTGTTCGGCCGTTTTATCCATACCACTGGCATATTGGGGGCACTCGTACTCTATTTGTGTATTTGTTTTGTCAATGGCTCTTCTGTAACAACTATGGGGAAGGGAAGGTAAAGGGTTAAGTAACACTTTCTACTTTTTTTTTCGTTTCAATACTTTTACTTCATATCATCCCATTATAAGGACACTACAAACAGAATGTTTTGTAAGAAAAAGTAAATGATAAAAGGGCAAAATGAACTTCTCCGCTAGACAGCTTCTGATCCAAAGTTTAATGAAATACATGAAATTTGAATATCGAGATCCCGTATAACTTGTGACTAAATTTCGGACGAGTTCGCCTGTGCACACATCTGTACCTTTATTATTTTCAATAAAACGTTTAATTAAAAGATTGAAATTGCAAAATGGTTATCTAGTAACTTCTTGAGCGTAAGTTTAGAAGTTTTTTAATCGAAAGAGAAAGCAAAATTCAAAGCTAAGATAGATTATGGATTGTCATTTTACTTGTCCACAGAGTTCTATTCATTTCGACTAATTTATATATTCATCGATGGTATGCTTTATCTATGATGTATTACTAGACCAAATGATCACACAGCCAGGACAGGAATCGAATTCGCATCTCCCAATTATCAGTGGGGTACTCTTTAATTCGGCTATCTCATCGTCATCTCAGCTGTAAATATAACCATATGTCAAATACTCTTTCTTGAGCATTCGAGTGTATTCGGTACAGCAACGACCAACCAGGACCATTGATGTGAGGGGTATGGGTGTGATTGTTCTTTTCGGCCACATTCACATCTATTCGGGTGTTTATGTGTACCTGTTTCAACGTTAAATGAAAGTGAACTCAAATGTTCAAGTTGATATAAATTGGAAAAAATATATTTTAATGATTCAATTTCAATTTCGATTAATGTAAGTGATCCCAATCGTGTGAATTGTTCAATTCAGAAACAAGAAAAGAAAACTTCAGATTGACCAGAATTATTATCAATGCCAGAGATTGTGAGATAAATAATATGTTCTAGCTGAATATATCGACAGACAAAATCAAAATCGGATTTTCGAATCTATTTGAAGTCAAATCGATAGTCAGAATAGGCAAATACAACATTATGAATATAATTACTGCTGTCATAAAACGTGGAAAGAATTTTATTTGCCGAAAAGTAGACGCATAATGCATGCAATAACTCGATAGGTAATCGATCAAAAAAGCATTATTTAGCTATAATAAATAATTACTTGAAATTATGAAGGCATATTCTTTTCAAGTATGGTGTGATGTGGGTGTTTTCGTGAATATGAGCTAATAGAAGACTATCACCCTCTCCCACATGCACACCTACATTCAGACCCACTCACACTACATGTCTATACAGTCATGTCCTCTATTTTTGACTTTTACAATTGATATCACATCAAATAATTTAGTTTATACTCCAAAGTTTTGCACATTTCTAGAAAGAATAGGCCATTTCCACTATTTTCAATGCAGACAACATCGATTTGGTCGTTCACTCTGATTAAAGACAAGAATAAAATCTATAATATGTTCTTTCTTTAGCCCGCTATACTTTCATTTAAGAGTTTGATAAATATCTAATCAGCAGCTATGGACGTATTCCATTATGAAAACAACAATATCAAAGCTGTATGCATCAGTGTGCAAAATTCTTATTTTGTAATATTTGATTATGACTCTTCTTCTTTTAACAGTAAGCCATAGGATCGAATAGCGTTCGGGTCGGCAAAGCGCCACATTTCACCCTTCTCTACTGGACTTTCTTGAATGGTGAACATATTCGGTTGAACACGACACTGAAATACCACTCGATAATTTGCTGTATTCTCATTAGATGTTTTAACAGGAAATATTTCTGTAAATCTTGGATGAGCTCCATCATTGCAATGAGTGGTCAAATAAAGTCCTGGTTCATTCATTTCGATTCCATTCAATTGAAGTGAAACATTCTTCATGGCGGCGTCTCTTTTAGTTGTAGCGGGTAATAATTCTTTTTTTATGAGACCGTCGATGTCCTTTTGGTGTGTTCCATAAAACGCGACTGGCCATTCGCCATCACCATTGATACAACCGAGCCAAGCCGAATCATTCGGATACTTATGATCAATTTTTAGTGCGTGACGATACCAACCAATCGGACAACAGTACGGATATCCTCCTCGTATTTCCGATTCGAATAGTTCTGCTTCCTCGTAATCTCTATTGAATTCTGGAGCAAAATCGTTTAGTTGTAGTTGAAAGTAAGATAAACTCGAAGCCCATTTATAAACATATGAAGCAGGTTTAACGTATTGAAGTACTGACCTTCCAGGAAAACCTTTTCTGGCCTTATCCTAAAAAAAAAGACAATTAATAGACTTTTCGACCAAAAATCTGAAATAAGTACACAAAAATGTGTGACTTTTGTAAAAAAAACAAGCTAAATAAGCATCAAATAGAACTCTACATATAGACTACCTGTAATAAATGAGCGAGCTGTTGTGTCTCCTTAAAATTCGGTTTGGTTATACCAAAGTGAACTGTAGTTTCACCAGGTTTTTTGTTTGATTTGTTTATGGAAAGTACACGAATATAGTGTTCTTCACAAGATAAAAGTTGAGAAATATCTCGACAAAAGCTCAAAGCGAAATTCTCCATAGTATCCTTCGATTCTGCAAGATTCTTGTCATAATCGACGCTGATGTTGAAAGCGAACTGAGCCCTTGGTACATAGTTATTGACAAGCATATGAACATTGCTCAAATTGCCTATACCGCAAGCTAAACGATGAGCACTATCATCATAAGGTACATCATCCATGCTGATAGTCAGATCCCCATCGAATTTGCGAGCGAAAGCATTGAGAACAAGTATGAGTGTTTCTATTGAATCTTCGGCAACATCTATTGGCTCTTGACAAAAATCTTTCGATTTATTAGTAAATGTTCGATAGGCAGCTATAGTATCGAATGACTGATTACCGATAGTATCGGATGGATAAACTATATCTTTCAATACTGCTTGCTGATCATTCAACTTGAACCAGACAGGCGTCATTTTAAGTGATGCTCTGTTAGATTCCATATGAATTTGCATGACTCTATTGCCCTCATCAGCAAGTATTATATGATGAGGTAGCGATACAACACCTGGTTGCGATTTTTCTTTTTGACTTCCATAAGTCTTCCTCAACAGTAACCAATGCTTGTACTTCAACTGTTTGATCGTTGCATATAACGTATGAATTTGTTTCAAATCAGCATCTTTGTAGACTATATTTCTTTGTTCACATTTGACTATCAAAGTTTTAAGTTTTTTCTCCAATGTTTTGATGTACTTGGATAAACTGCCGACATCGTCGAACTGATTTGTCTCAGATGCAGACGCCATCTTTTTCTATTCGTATTCTAGAAAGATAAAATTCATCATTCAGAGACTTACGTTAGTTTATTCATGTACAAAAAATACATAGTATCAAGAAAACTCTAAATGATACTCCTACAATCAAAGAATGATTGCTTCATAGGTCAGATTCGACTTTTTCCTGACGACGTTGTCTGCTATAAGAGCATGTTTCGATTAGGCACGGTTAATCTTCTACCAAATGTTGATAAACTCTTTCACATTTTTTTCTTCTACGAATGCCTGTTTCAAAACAAAAGATAGATTGCTATTTTTTGAATAAATTTTGCTGCATGCAAAGTATAGATCTAACTTTTTTACCATTGAAAAACATTTCTTTCCTAATACGTTTGCATAAATTTTCACGATTATCTCTGCTCAACTTATGCCACAGCCTACCTAAAATCTCCATTTTTTCGCCGTAAAATTATCATATTTTCCATTATTTTATCCATCTCTTTTTCTGGTAGGTTTTTGAAAAAATATGATAACTTTATAACTTTGTAGCATAATTTCAACAGAGATAACGGTGAAAACATATAAAGAAAAAAGCGTTAATGGAACAGTTCTTAACAAAAAACAACACTTCCTGCAACAAATTCATGCACTGAAGAAATCGGTGATGTTTCAAGTTGATATGACCACATCGTGTTTCGTTTCTGTCTATCTTGTTTGCCTATTTAATACCTTCCTTCTAATTTTTGATGATGGTTCAAATATTTTTATTTTCAAAATACTAGTACCTTTTTTTTTTCTTGTCGTTGTAATATCTTTATATATGAAATGAAATCAACACTTCTAATCTTAATTGTGGCCATGCCAGATCGTGAGTGATTCGATCGTTTTTATTTCAATTAATTTTCCTTGTTAACCACTATTCTATATGTATTTTAACCCCCTCAAGACTTCTCTGGATCTTATTTACAAAATTTACACATTACAGTTTGTCTATTCTCCAATGGATTCAACATTTACGATTGTTGTCTTTTGAAGTAATCATTAATGTTAATACGGTTTTTTCATGCATGATCATACAATCCTGGTTATGGTAATGTCTAAACTGCACTGATAATTTTTTTTTAAGAATCATTTCATGCGAGGCACGTCACCGGTCGTGAATCTTCTATCGAACCGAAAAAAGTGACAGCTATCATCTAGTGAAAAGTCAAATACCGAAGCAAACTGAACAAATATTCGAATACACGGATTCACTTGATACTATACCCATACCATGTGTAGATTTTAATCAGAGCATTTTGAATCTTAGTGAAAACATCATTAAAATAGAACTGTTCATATTTGTTACGGTGACAATCTATCTAAATCATCATGCTGTGTAGTCTACGTTATTTTTCAAGAATGATCAAAGACATAACTGCACTGAAGTTATATTTTATGAATCTTTAGTCTGGAAATACTTTGAAAATTTCTGCCTAAACACATAAACTTTTGAACTAATGAATCTGCTTCTCTATTGTGTTTATTATTGTACTTGAATGGTGCTTCAATGATGAGAATGGCACTGTACCTGCCTGCCGACATTGATAGTGTCATGGTTTTGAACTCGGCTAAAACTACTATCAAATGTAGTGCACTTTTCGTAACGATCGTTCTAGACACTATTTTCAAGTCATTCGAATGCTGCATCAATTTTAGAAATAGAATCACCAAAATTTACTCGATAAGCGTACCATGTAATTGTTACTATAAGAATTCTGATATTAGTTCAAAAAATTCGAAAAGCAACAGTCATCAGAAGCTAGCTGATTGCTTACTATTAAAATACTATGTTCACTCTTCTGATCTTCTATCAACATATATGATATTCCTTCAAAACACTATAATTCTACCGACCGGTTACATGAATAATAAATACAGTCAGACTTGATGGAACAGATCATTCTTCAATGTCGCCTGCAACTATACTTCATGTAACACTCAGTCGATAGGTAAGAAATATTTAGAAAAATAACAAAAAAATAATTATGACAAAAACTTTGAGATAGATTTTATGGGTTTATAGAAGCTTTCTGAAACATTTCAAAGATTGGTGCTTTTTAAAAACAGTCTAATTCACAAAATCCAATGTTTCTAATTTTAGTTATAATGTGCAATAGTACGCTTTAGTCACATCGAATGGCATGACTCCAAGCCATACCAATTTGGTGAAAATTTTGCTATTCATATTCAAAAAGATAGAGAATGGTATCTAGTGGAATACGACGACGTTGAAATAATGAAAAAAAAATTTGGATTTATTCGGAGATAATATTATATCCTTTTGAATAACTTTACACATCACAGTGGCGTAAAATCTATTTAATATACTACGATAGCACATACAATTGTCATCTATTTTGGAGTACTCTGCCCTCGTTACTCCCTATAACTGATCTAAGGTCCGAGCCATTCTGAATATTCATAAAAGAAATAAAAGTTCGCCTCGTATACATCAAAGAATAAGGAGCAAAATTGTAAATGATTCTACAGTAGTTTTTTTATTAAAAGAACATACGGCATTGTTTGTTCTATTGGCAACACTTGCTGTGATCAACATCAACAATTATTATGAAGTCTTATAAGTGATGTTTGTCGCATTGAGACAGCTATAACTACATACTTTCAAGTGCCAACAAACTGATTGAAAAACATTACAAATTAGAAAGAAAAAAAGAATCATAACTAGAAAGGCACATGAGTGAAAAATAAAGAATAGAGAAACAAAAAACAAAGAATTGATGAAAGATAAATGAATCAATAATAGAGTTGTAAACAGAAAATGACTGATGGCAAGAAGAATATAGAAGAGTAATACTCTTGATGATTTTTTGTCCAACTACAATGTTCCAACAGTATTAATTTATTTTCCTCTCTTTATTCAAAACGTAATGCAATCGTATCTTAAAAGACATCAATTGCGTACAATTATCTTAAAAAGAAAATATTCTTGTACATAAAATCCATTTTGTTTTTTATGAACATTGAAAACATAAGCTTTTCTTTTATACAAATGATAAATTTCCAATTGTCATTATATGGTGATGACGATTTGGTGCTGGATAGTAGACTGACTCTGATAGCCTTTTCTTTGTATCATCTGCCGATGTGCTTGATACTATTGACATAAAGTAACGGAAACATCGAAAAGGCTTGTATATTTGCGTAAACGTTGGTCATCTATGAATCGTATTCATTTTCGTCTTGACGAAAACCCCGTGCACAGTGTCCATTTCATTTTCTCGCTGTGCAATCAAATTAATACTAGAGCAGTCATATTACATGTTAACTGTGTTTGATAACTTCTCGAGATTTTTGTTAGAAAAAAGGATGACTGCGTTGAATATACCTTCTACTGTCTCATCTATCATAATAGTTCTTCACTGTGATCTTTATTGCGGAATGTGAGTGAATGTGAGTGTTGGAAAAGAGCAGACCGACACATACACCCATTACTATATATGAATAAAAGTGAGCAATGACAAAGGCACTATCGGTGTGTGTGGATGTAGATGTGGATGGGGTGTGGGTTTAGAGAAGACTTACATCCACACCCATCCTTTCAGTTCGAGACTGCAAGTTTGTAGTAACATCTTTTTATCCAGTGTGACCTTATTGAAAAACATGAAGCGCGTCTGTTCTGTCAGCTCTGGATCCGTGTAGTGATGCTATACAAGGGGATTCTCAGCGAAATAAGCATCGTGGCCTAGAGCCAAGTAGAAACGAAAGGCAGAACCCTAATCGCATTTGAAGTTTTAGCTTCATGACTCACTCCGCTTGTCTTGACCGAAATTCGCTTTCCAATATCGACCGTCAAATCCATCATTCAATATTCCATCAACGGCTTCGGCTTTTGTTACATGAAATAGTTCTTGTTTGTTTGGATTCTCTCCATCATATTGGTTTTCAATTAACTTTTTCATGGCTAAATAAGCGTCTTCGAGTGACGAATTTTTTATTTCTTCAATGACAACATCTCGAACTTCGTCTCGGATTAATCTTTGCATCTTGTTCATCAATGTGAGATGCAGATCTGCCTCTTTGCGTAAGGGAACTAGAGCCACTTGATATTTGGGTGGTGAATTGGGGATGACCTGTATATCTTGCACAACTTTTGTCCAACCTCGAGCAATCATCTTTTGAATACACGTTTCAATATTTTTATCGATTGGACGTAAGATTTGAAAATGTTTTTGTTAAATATTACAAAACAATTTTTACGATGTTGATCGAATAGGGTTTTGGTCGTACATCAACTCTCGTTCCCAATTCTTTCGTTTAATCTTTTTTCAAAGATAGATTACTCACATCGAGATCGATGCGATCCTGCGTTACAACTAAATGTGGTCCGATTAGATTCCATCATGAACATCCCAGTTTCGGCATGCTCGTCCAGTAGTAACACATATCGTCATCGTTGTCGAATTTTTTGGTACTCAATATCATACTTATGGAATTAATTGAAAAACTTGTCTATATCGAAGTATCCATGTACCGGTAGATGACAATCGATATTGGTTGGAATCAGCTCTTTACTCAGCTCAGAATCTTGTCTTTGCAAGTGAACCACGAAGACCGATGATCCGTAGTTCGACCTATATAATGTTAGACGATCCGTTCGCGAACGAAACCCCTTCGATTCGACAGTTGAATTGACAGACGATGGGCGTGTGGGCCTGCGTGACGATAACATGAAGCCACATCTACACCCGCGCGATTCACAATTCACATGCAACATGTGATAAGCCCCGCCACAAGATCTACATGAACATGAAGCTACTATAATTCTCCATAGTTCCTTTCTGCCTAGTAATTCATTGACTTGTTTCAAGTTTAGCCATATGATTTATTCTATACCAGCTGAGTGAGGTTGTTTGAGTGAAGGTGAGACTAAAAAGTCCCTTATTTTCACACACATCCTTTCAAACTTTAATTTGTTGTATCCTTCCAGATGGATTATCTGTTTTTCATAAGGTATCTGTAGTGTCTGGCGACCGATAAATGAATCAGAAGTTTTTTTCGTTACCAAAACTGTGTTCGTATTCATAAGTTAATCGTAAAATAATAAAGAAAGATTAAATCATTTATTCTCTCTATTAGGGCGCTTTTCAAGTGTTTGTATCATGAATTGCACGCAGAACTTTTGTTTTTCATTTGTAGGTGGTCAGGTACTGCAGATGCCGTATGAAAAACAGAATACTTGCTGAAACTACCCTTTAATAAATACAATGAAATAGATCTTTTGTGGCAAATAGTCTGCCACAAGCAAAACATCGGTTTGATAAATAAAACAATTAGAAACATAAAATAGTCTCAGAGATTTTGACAAAGTCAAATAAAGCGTTTCCACAATGTTTGCAATTATTTTTGGTGTTTTCAACTGTTATTGTATAAAGACATCAAGGATGAAAAATAGAATTTTCAAAAACTTAGCGTAGTTTTGTTTATTTCTCGGAAACGCTTTATTTTGCTTAGTGATGAAAATGGAAAACCGAACTTTGATATACCCTAGTGAAGAGTGTTGGCTATATGTAATAATGGGAAAAGCGATTAAGACGAAAGAAAGAAGAAAAGAAAAGCAAAACTTGATTTTTTTATATTCTTAGAGAATTCTTCTAACATTTGACTCATTTCAGAAGGAAAAGGCAGAGAAAGCTGAGCGACGTGTCATTTTGTTTGGGGTACTTAACTCTATGTTGTAACATATTTGAAAATCGAAAGTCATAATAGTCGAAGAGGAGAAGGAATACTCTGGAACAAGCTCAGTTTCCAATTTGGACTCCGATTAACTAACGACGAAGAAAATTTTATTTTACTGGTTTATGATCTTCAGTCAATGAGTCTTCTTAGTCGAAGTCAACTCACTATCGGATAATTAATTCTTTGCATTTGGAAGCTTACAACTATGACCAGTACAACAGTAAGGTTAGACTTGCAAACTTGTAATGTTGTTTGCGATGAATCAAAACACAACACTTTCAGATGATAAAAAAATATTTTTTTTTATAAAACTTTAGCAGTCTTATGTATTAATTATTTATGTATATAGTGATATTCAGAATTATCTCCTTTTTCAAATGGCGTTTGAAGTATCACTCTGCATCAATAATAAAAGCGATATATCAAAAACAAAACTCGCGCTTCATTTTTTCCTCTTCTTGGTATTATCGCATATCTTTGCTGTTCGAATGATAAAATAACTCCTAAATCAATATGATATCGTATATGGACAAAATTACGAAAAGAAAGTAAAGTTTACAGCTTCAACATATTGTATATTTTACTGTGGTACTGTCGTACGACAGAGCATAGCTGCACAGGTAACTTGTTGATAAGCACAGCCACAATAATTACCATTGTCCATGAATGTTTGACCATTCATATAGTATTCTTCATTATATTCACAATCCCCCTTTGATGATGATGTTGATGATTCGTATTCAAAATTTCCATCGAAAGATTTAATATCGGAGAGCCGTAATGTACCAGCTTTTAGTGTTGTTAAAATTGTAATAAAATAAAATAAGCACAAGCTGTCTGCTTTTTTTCTGCATTTGTTAGTGCACAAATTTAGATATGAAAGAAAGAAATCTTTTGTTTAAAAGAATAGAATCAAGAATAGAAAGATTCGGTAGAAAATTAAATGAAGTGATAGTGCTATTTAAAAACAGGCTTATATCGATAATAAAACTATGGGGAAGTGATTTCGAAGAAATGTCATTGTTATTTATTCTAATATTTGAGAATGTCAAAATAGGAGTGATACAGTATGTGCATACATGCAAATCTTTTCTTTCTCATTCGAATCATATCCTTTAAGGTCGTGAGAAGCATTTCTTTTTATCCATCATAAATGTCTCATTAAGTAATGTAATCTTATATTATTGATGCTATTTTATCATATGTTTATCAAGAATACTTAAATGTTAAAACACGAGCCTTAGCAAGGATGAACCACCCAACAGTAAATTATGACAAAGCATTTATAATACGATAAGTTCATTGGATATCATTTCTAAACTTCCGATGATGTTTCTTTGAGAATTTCTGTGATAGTAAAACCGTCATGTTTCTCATAATTGATAAAATAAATTCTGATAGACTCATGTAAGTTATTTCGCTAAATTAGAATTTGATTTTTCCAATATGACCATCTGACGTATACTTTTTTTTTCTAAAACTATGTAACCTACCTGGTGGGATGTGAGTGTGAGTGAACCGATGATCAACACCCACATTCTTACTCACCATAATCACGTAATGATAAACCAACTATTCGTAGTTATGTAAATGTAACGATGTTATTGTTGATTCTACATAGTTTCGATTTGTTTTACACTGTTCGTTTGTTTTTTCTCGAATGATATCGTTTGTTACTGTTTCATTAAGTCAAAATTTTACATTTCTCATCTTTCTTTTCTCAGCTTGCATTTTTACTTTCGTTTTTTCATACTTTTGTCAACCGTTCATTCCGTTGAGCAGGACTGCATGTAGAAACAGTAACACATGCAAGTTACAGAGCAGATGATGAGTGATGACAAATAAGAAAAAAAATCATATTTGTGGAAGGAAGAACGTTCGATATGGATTACACATATTGATACCTTTTGTTGTTTGATATGGGGAGATTGGTACCGTTCAAAAATATACAATAGCGAATAATGATAGACTTTATTAAATGTTTTCTAGAAGATTTAATTATCAATATTTAATATCACATAGTTATTCCAGGAATGGTTTCAAATTGTTTTTTCATTCCTGCATCAATGAAATTTACATTAGCATGAAGCTGGACAACTTTTCTCTACAACAATACAAAACTTGATAATGATGAATAAAATATGATGTTTCGCATTACGTACATTGTTTAGAATACCTGACAGATTCATCTTATTTTTTCAACCCGAAACAACAGTAGCAAAACGCAAAGGTTTTTTGCTGATAGTTCATTTTGATTTGAACTTCAGAAATTATTTTCATTACAAGAAGAGTGTGATGCTTCTCGATCTACATTTGATACTCGTACTATATTTTTTATTATTTTAGTGCATTGTGCATTGTAACTAATTACATAATTTCTGTTAATAAAATTGTCATTGTCTTCGTATTTTGGAATTAGAAAAATCTTTCGATCTCAAATGATAATTTTATGCGGCAAGATCAAGTCTCAGAAGATAGATTTGACGTGGATGTCGGCGTTGATCTTTTTATCTCCTCGGTCTTTATTGAGAGATAACCATGATAATTGATCAATTTATTGTGTTGACATGGTTGTATTCTGATGCAATTGATCAATATGCTTCTCTACCTATGCGATGGCATTCTCGTATTAAAATATAACTACTACGTCATGTGTTCATGTGTTAGCTACTCTATTGTTTAATTTGGTGTTTAAATAGTATTCCTATAATTTATTTTTGTAGTATATGAGAGTGGATGTAATGGAAAACTAGACCCATACCATTACCCACACACCCCACATCCATTCACACACCCACACCCATCCAGAATGAACGCTTGTTCTTTTTAATAATTTTAATAATTCAAACAGTTCAGTTAAAGAAACTTAGACAAATTTGGATAAAAAAAGAATTTCATATATAATTGCAGGGCTAAAATTAGATTAGAGATATTCAATAAACGATTGTTATGTCTGTTTGTGTCCAAATAGCAACAATTTGATATTGTAATTCTTTCTGTTAATTATTTACCAGGTTTAACTCGCTTGCACTCATTATGGAAGATTTTCTTTACGCATAAGTTGGGTTCACAGCATTGACTGTGTGTTAATAAGCTGCATGTTATACATTTACCATTAACACGTTTCATGTAGTCATCAGCAAAATCCAAGAAAGCTCTGGCCTTGGCATTAGATATTTGAAAATCATCGTCATCATCTATTGGTATTTGACGAGCATTGCTACTTTTCATGAAAACTATTATAAATAGTGCCAGAAATAACATAAAAACTATGCTTGAACGCATGATATATTACGAATGCTAAATGGATAAAATAGATAATAATAATTTTAATTTTTCATGTATATTAGCGTCATTGTTATGAATATGTCAACAGTATTTTTCGTATCTATTACATGTATGACATGAATAAGTGCATCTGAGACACAAAGTAACTGCTGTTCTTACTTAATGTACAGTCTCGATATATATTGCAACACTATAATAGGTATATTTATATGTGCTTACAAACACCTCTACGACAAATTTTATACAATAAGCAACTTGTATGCATAGAATTACTATAAATCTTACTCTCAATATTAATTGTGCATTCTAGCTTTTACAATAAATATACATCTGTGAACAAAATGATCAATTATTCCTTATCGCAATTAGAGAAACAAAGAAGTTCGATTAAAAGTTGACAAAATAGTAAGAGCACATAATTTTAATATAGATCATATTCTCTTGAAACTAGGTTTACTACATACTTAGTATCACACTTTGTTTCTTATTCAATGTCATTTTTAAAAATATTAGGCCGTGGTAAATTTCATGTTTAAAATTAGCTGCTATTACTATTATGTCAATACGAAGACTATTATCCTTGAACAAATGTAATGTATCAAAGTCAGATTCAATACTTAAAATACGGACTAGTTTTTTCAATTGTGACTCTTCACCCAAGAAAGAATACAAATTTTTAGTAATGATAAGCAGGACACTGTAAAAGACAGAATGAATGGCCGATTTTCTCTTACAAATTGTAAACAAAACATTTTCAATGAAAAATACATGGAAGACAGCTTTACAAAGTATGAGAGTGAAGGGCTTTTCTCATAAATTGGTATAATATACATCTCTAAACGGAAAAAATACGGTAAATATCTTATTCTAAGATCATAATTCTTATTCTCAGAAGTATTTTTTGAGGAATATAGTTGATTTTGAACTTTCAAATCACTTTTTTAAACTATAATCATATGTTTAACTGATCCATGCAAGTGAATATGTGATGTTTTCTTGTCCGAAACTTTAAAATGATGTGGATTTCTAATTATAAAGTCGAATAACAAATGAATATGGAGTCTCAATTGCTAATTTTTATCTAGAGCGCAAAATTTGATAGATGATGATGGAAATGACGTATGGTTTTCGAAAAATTTCTACTATTATCTGTTGGGAAGAGAAAAAATTTACAAGTGAAAAACAGTTGAAATTGATAAACTGTGTATTTAATACTTCAGTTGTATTCATAACGTACATATCCAAATATTTCATACTCATCAATCCTTATTTTTATTTATCATTTGTTTTAGTAATGGTAGTCTTAAGCATTTAAACGAAATGAGTTCAACTATATACTGAAATTGTCCATCTTCATACCTGCACAATGCAAAGTGTAAAAACGTGTGAAAGCATCGATTTACTTTATGATCAACTCTAACTTTATACTGATTAAAATTACCAATCTTAACAAGAGATAGCTAGTGTCATTTAAATCAGTATCAGTGTATCTCCTTTCAATGCAAATCTTAACATTAATGCTTACTTTAATTTGAATTTGTGTTGTAAAGAATCTAATGTTTGCACTTATTCGTTTTTTTTAAAGAACCTCTACGTATTATATAGCATTTTTTATACGAATATTATTTCTATAATTCTTCAGTGAACAAGAAAAAAATGAATAGTATCAAATACTCTAGAGAATTGTATATATTTAACTAAAATATGCCTTGAGGTTACATTTCATTCATTATTACTGCTTACCTGAATGAGTTTCTCTTTTGTTGATTTAGTGGCATGTCTTTTACAAAAATCTCTAATCGACTCATTCTCTATATAATATTATTTCTTCTTGATATTATACAGCAATGGTATGAATATTTGCATGAATACTACTGAAAATATATCATTAACTACGCAATAGTCAAGTATTTGAATGCATGCAGCAGTGATTATTCATACATAAATAAAAAGAAAAAAATATTTCTAACCTATAGATTATTTAGTTTCATGAATAAGCCTAAATATTTTCTGTGCAATCACATTATATCTCTGAAGTTTCTTATCAAAATAATATATTTTCAAGCACTTAATCTTGAATTAATCACACTGCCGGATGGCCATCTTAACTACTCTTAAAATTTATAATACATTCTAGGTGAAGTATGAGTGTGGATAAAGAATATATCCAAATTCACTCACATGGGTCATTCAAAAGATGTTAAGAATCACTTTGATGATCGAAATAAATATTGAAGCTAAAAAACGATCGCCCTTTTCCACATACATTTCGTCCAACATATTCAACAGTTACTGTTTCACCAACAAGTTATCAATCAAGTGGTTATCCTTCAACATTTTATAATTATTCATCATGCAGTAAAGGTGTTGCGAATTGTGGTACATGATGTGATAAAAAATTTAAAAGTATTTTAAATGACTCTCAAATATCGAACAGCTTTATTGTACAAAACTCTTTCAGTAACAAAGAAAAAAAAATTGCATATATGTATATACCATAAAACACATCCAGTTGGACAAAACTAACAAGAACTAAAAGTTCTTGCTTACGTTCAAATTTGAATATGAGTATATACTACTTGATAATCTTGTGATGATAAACTTAAACATTGAGCAAAGTAGACGTTTTGTTTATGATTGTGGGACAGTTAAATCAGATTTACTGTTCTCACTGAAGATTATTATCTGTTTCACAAACGAAGCATACTACAAGTTCGTAACTAATATTTACCGTTGACATATTTAAGCAAAATCGATTTCGTTCGATCACAACAAATAGATATTTCATAAGAAAATTTCTGTTTTTCAACATTTATGAAAAGATTTTAGTCAAATGTTTGCTTTAAACAGGTTCAGGAGATTTTTGAGATACTTTTTGAAATAATTATATTAATTTAAAGAACCCATTGGAGTAGAATTTTAGTCGAGTTCAACTTTTACATTGTACGATTTCAATTCATTGTTTACTTTTATAACTAGAGCTACATATATATATATATATATGAAAATTTTGAATAACATTCATTTAATTGTAAGAGTTTAGATGTTCAATTTTGAGCATTTTTAGATTAATAATAAGGAAGAAAACTCAATTTTTCTAAGGTATAAAATTCTTGAATTCATCCCGTACCTCGAAAAATTTTATGTTTCAAAAAATTTTCTTTCTCGAAACAAAAAAAAACAACAAGAAAATTGTTTATTATATTTATTTTATACAACGAAGAAGGCTATATTCGCTTGTTAAACAATGACGTGCTTAGAGTCAACTATTGAACATATAATTGGACGTGTATGTTATTCTTAGTTAATTTCGTTGTGTCTTTCTCTCGATCTCTATTATATAGATATGCGTATTGAGCAGAAATTCACATTGCTATATTGAAATCGTACTATTCACATCTAATTCGGTACACAAACCAAAAAATATAGTCCAATGCAATTTCTTGGCAATTTATTTATCTTATATGTAAATCGGATGAAGGTGAACTTATATAGCCTCTTTTAATTCTTCAACAAGAATCATGTTGTTTATCAACTTCTATTACCTCTTTTCTTTATTATGACACTATATTTCGACATACAATAATTCAATTAAAAATTGTATTTTTTTTCTTGGCTGTTGTCTTTTAATGATATGTAAGTGAAGTAAAAATGTCATCTGAGAGTAGTTCAAGAAAATTAATCGAATAGAGACATGACGAGACTTCTTCAGGCAAACTCATTCAATCGATTGTCATTGTTTTGATATAATTAATAAATATATTACAAAATAATTATCTATTTTATCCAATGTCAATGTTAAATTTTAGAGATCATTGTATTTGATATTCATCATTATGAAAACTTGATATAATCGTAGGAATTTAGAGTTAATGCACAAAAGTAAAATCTTCTTGGATTCTGTTTTTTTTTAAATATTAGATTTTCTTTATTTTGTAGTTTTACGTGTCTTTATATACATGAATGGCTGAACAAAATGATTAATACATGACGCTTATTAGGATTATGGTGTGAAAAATGAAAATAAAGGTGTTGCTGCAATGGGTCTTGGTGATTTTATTGTATTCGATCTAATGTTTTTATGCGTAATAGATCCATATAGGTTGATAACAATGAAAATATTTGCTGCAATTGATTTTATAGTATGCACACAAATTAGCTATTTGTATACAATATTTATTTGAGATTTGTATTATATAATGATGATGCTTGCTTTTCCTTTTCCCGTCATCTTTTTTTCAATTTACATTCTTAATAAATATTGATAAATATGAATTGAAATTGTTAAATAAATTAAAATACTTCTATATTATTTCAACTGCATTTCTTTTAACTTGCCTACCAATGGTTGAATGTGCAGATCACATGTTATATATGTTTTCGTTTATGTATTAATAATGCTTTGCAGGATGTCATAAAATCGATACGAATAGTATCATAATTTTAGAATCATTACATCTTTATTTCGGACTCGAGACAAACATTTTTTTGGATGAAACTGAGATAATTCTGTCATTTATATATTAGTATTAATTTTGTTTATGTTATTTCTTTTTCTTATTTTTTGTATCAATACATATTTTCTTGAGAAAAAATAATCTTACCATTTTCTTCCTTTCCGTTGGATGGCTTTATAAAATAATTGTTTCGTTATAATTAATCATGTATGATTGCACATGGCTACTGAGTTTTGAAATAAATACTACGAATTATGTAGGTATTTTAATTCATTTGATTCCTACTCTTTTATCAACTAACCATTGTTAGAGATTTCTATCGAATATAGTTGTACGCATTCTCAATCGATACTGATCGGTCAAAAACAGGATGTAAATGTGAGTGCGCTTGTCTGTTCGGTTTCTCCCTCCACCATTGCAACCAATTACATCCACTCACAGACAGAAACTCACACGTACACATCTACATCCACGCTTACACTTCCACACTCGTACTCATATTCAAACAACCATACTCATACCCACACCTTCGACGTAACA